GCTCTTCACCTCCCCCCTTACATGTTCACGTGGATGAGAACACCCCTGTCCACGTCCACATAAAAAAACTCCCGAAACCATCAGCGGCCAGCAGCCAGGTAGGAGCATGCCAGTGGGGCAAGGTAACAGCTGTGGATCAGGGTGATCCTTCCCACCCAGCCTCCTCGCGCTTCTGCCTCCAACGGTCTGGGAAACTCACACCCTCTTCCAGAGGTCAGTGACCTGGATGGAAGGTAGGCAGGTCTGTTGCACGGAGATGGCTGCAGGAATCTTAAGTCAGACAAGGTAGATGCCACCAGAGTGACACTGGGCACAAAGGTGACCCTGGGTTTGTTCCTTTCCACAGAAATCTCATAAGCGCGGAATGAAAGGGGACACCGTGAATGTGCGACGGAGTGTCCGTGTGAAAACCAAGGTACCTTGGATGCCCCCTGGAAAATCATCCGCCCGGCATGTGGGATGCAAGTGGGAGGTAGGCCCATTCTTGTTCAGGCTTTTCTTCTTGGACTGGTCAGATTCTAGCAGGCCTCCAACTCGGAAGGATTCAGAATCAGCTATCACTATTGGAGACACCCCTTTTACTGAGTGCCTTGCCAAACCCTGAAAGTATGTGAATCTTCTTGAGTCCTTCCAACAGTGCCGTGTGGTAGGTTCTGCTCCCGCAGTGTAGAGGTGAGGAAACCGTGGCTCAGAGGTGATTGGCCTGGAGTCTCATAGAGACTGTCCAGCAGAGCTGAAATTAGGGCTCAAGGGGGGTCTCATCCTAGAGGCAACACTCATAGCCACCCTACTTTGCACGAGAGGAGCCATGTGTATTTTCCCACGTACTGGTTAAAGTAGCTGAAACGTAATTAAAAACATATGTACTCGAATATACATATCCATGAAAACATTGCCTCTTTTTATTTTTAAGAGTTATTTTATTTAACCTTATTTATTTATTTACTTATTTTAATTTTACGGGCGAGAGAAAGTGAGACAGCAAGCCACCAGGTCTGGGACTTGAACCACGGTTGGACATGTGGGAGTCCAGCACCCTTAATCACCACGCCAGCTGCTGGTCCCAGCATCGCCTCTTTTGAGGTAGCCTCTCTAAGAGACCAAACACCTATTCTTTGTTTTGTTTTGTTTTTAGTTTGCCAGTAGACTTGTGTGTTCACTAGAGAGAGAGAGAGAAAATGAGAAAGCACCCCCCCCCATGGGAAATGGTCATACAGTTCCTTCTCCATTTCTCCTTCCTTTCAGAAGTTTGAGTATGCATGCACATGCACCTGGCATGTTTCTCACGCTGCTAGGTCCAGGAGCTGAACTGTGCAGTCTGTCATGTAGGATCAGCCTTCTTAACCACCATGCTACTGGCTGACCCCATACACCTATTCTATAAATGCCATCAAAACCAAGTTTGGGCCCAGCTGTGGTGGTGTGTCCTGCTACGACACTGTTCCCAACAAGCTGGGACCACATGAGAGAGTCAGGTTTGACTCCTAGTTTAACCTAAAGGGAGACTAAGACGGGAAGATCGTGACAGTGAGACAGTCTTAAAAAAACAAGAACAAGGGACCAGCAGTTAGCATAATGGCTGTGTCGTTGGACTCCCATGTAGTTGAGCGGTTCGCATCCTGGACCCGGTGGCTTAAAACCCACGCTGGGCGCATGTGTGTGCGTGCCCAAGATCCCGCGAATGGAGGAGAAGGGATTGCGACGTGGCCATCCCCCCTGGGGGGTGATTTCTCGCTTTCTGTCTGTCTGTCTGTCTGGCGAGCTATAGCAAAAACCTCTCAAAAAAAAAAAAAAAAAGAAAAACAAGTCCTCGGTTCAAGCCCCAGTACAACTACCAAAAACCAAAACAAAACAAAAAACAAACAAAATAAAATGGGAAAAACAGTTCTGGACTAATTTTCTAGAGAACAATTTTCTTCAATATTAGTAGCCAAGAGAACTGGCATCTTTTTTTTTTTTTTTTGGAGAGATTTTCGCTATAGGGCGCGTGCGCTCGCCAGACAGACACAGAGAGACAGAAAGACAGAAAGCGAGAAATCACCCCCCCAGAGGGGATGGTCACGCCACAATCCCTTCTCCTCCATTCTCCTCTCGGGATCTTGGGCATGCACGCACATGCGCCCGGCGTGAGTTTTTAAGCCACCGGGTCCGGGACATGAACCGCGGTCGACTACGTGGGAATCCAGCGACACAGCCATTACACTAACTGCTGGTTCCCCTGGCATCTTTTTTTTAGCTGCACCTCAATGTTTTTGTTTGTCCTTCTACCCATCCACTCTCCTGGCCATCTAGCCAGTAATTCATGCACATACATTTATTGAGAGTTGTGTCAGGGACTGCCGGACATGAGTTATGCAGACTGGCTCAAGGTGCCTCCTTAGGCTTATGTTCTAGTCAGTTGCAATGAACAGACTCCGAGCAAAGACAAAACTGAAAGACTTATGGCCATGCAATAGACTAAGATCTTTTTTTTTTTCTTTTTTTGGAGAGGTTTTTGCTATAGGGTGCGTGTGCTCGCCGGAAAGACAGAGAGACAGCAAGACAGAAAGTAAGAAGTCACCCCTCAAGGGGGATGGCCACGCCGCAGTGCCTTCTCCTCCATTCTCCTCTCGGGATCTTGGGCACGCACACACACAGGCTCGGCCTGAGTTTAAGCCACCGAGTCTAAGACTTGAACTGTGGTTGACTGCATGAGAGTCCAGTGACATAACCATTACGCCATCTGCTGGTCCCCAGTAGATAAAAGATCTTATTGGGACAAGTAAAGCACATGGGACTATTTTAAGATAATAATGTCTGGGGACCAGCAGTTGGTGTGGTGGTTAAGGTGCTGGACATTCCCACATGGTCAACCGAGGTTTGAGTCCTGGACCTGGTAGCATACTTTCTCACTTTCCTTCTCTTCTTTCTGTGCGTCTCTCACTGGTCAAATTAAAATGAATGAATGAATAAATACAATTAAATAAATAATTTTTTAAAAAGATAATAATGCCTGGTCTACTTTGGAAGTTTAGTCTTTTTTTCTATAGTTTACTATTATGTTTTTTCTTTTAATTTCACAAAGGGTACATGTACTTAACAGAGACAGACAGCCAGGGAGAGTGAGGGAGAAAGCACTCCTCATTGGGATGTGGTCATACCACAGTCTGTTCTCCTCCGTTTCAACATCTATTGGTATTTTAGTCGCATACACCCCAGCATGTTTCTCAAGCTGCTGGAGCCAGGATTCAAACTGTGCAGTCAGCTGTTTTGGATCTGGCTCTTTTAACCACTGGGTTATGGGACTGGCCTGTTTATATTACTTTTTTCTTTTTTTTTAAGAATTTTTTAACTTTATTTTTTAATTTGACCACAGAGGCACAGAGCAAGAGAGAGAGCGATAATAGCCTGAGAGAGAGAATGAGAAAGCAAGCTGCTAGGTCCAGGACTCGAACTAGGGTTGGCCACGTGGGAGTCCAATGCCCTTAACCACCATGCCACTTGCCAGCACCCCTGTTTATATTACTTTTAAAATTAGAAATCAAAACCCAAAGTAATAACGCTGACATGTATAGTGACCCAGCGACATAGCCATTATGCCAGCTACTGGTCCCTAAAAGCCATATATTTTAAAAACAACAGAAGAGTAGCAGCGGATAGTGTAATGGTTACATCACTGGATTCCCATTTAGCTGACTGCAGTTCCAGTCCCAGACCCTGAGGCTTGAAATTTACACTGGTTGTATGGGTGTGCATGCCCAAAATCCAGAGAGGAGGATGGAGGAGAGGAGAAGGGATTGTGATGTGGCCATCCCGCCTCAGGGGTGATTTCTCACTTTCTGTCTCTTGTCTCTTCAGTGAATACATGTGTTCTATAGCAAAAATCTCTCTCAGAAAAAATAAAATGAATAAACTATCATTTTGTTGAATAGAAAAAAGTGTAAAAGATTACAGATATCTTGTGTTGGTAAGCAAATGAGGTGCCAATGAGCTTTTAAAAATACTTTTGATAAGGCTATGAAACTGATTCAACTGTTCTAGGGGCAGTTTAGCAACATCTATCTACACATCAATTATATAGTTTTACATCAAGGAATTTATCCTAAAAATGTCAGAGAAGGGTACAAGGATCTGTTTATAAATTGTTTGCTATGGCAGTGTTTATAACAGAAAAACTGGAAGCAACCTTAGTGTCCATCAAGAGGATATTGGTTAAATTACAGTGCATCTATACAATGGAATACCACGTAGCCATACAAAGACTGAGATAAATATTTATAGTAATATAGCGCAGAGATGCACAATGTGTGGAGTTTGGCCTATTTGTGCAGAAAAAGGGTGTCTGCATCTCAGTACATGTGCATCTGTTTACATATGTATAACGTTTTCTGGGAAGATACTTAAGATGTGGCAAACAGTGATTACCTCTGGCATGTGACAGGCTTTAATGTTTTTGTTTTATTTCTATACTTTTAAAAACATAATTATCCACTTTATTTATTATTCTTTTTCAATTTCATCAGAGAGAAACAGAGAGAAAGGAAAAGTGAGAAAATAAGCCACCAGGTCTGGAACTCAAACCACGGTTAGCCATATGGGAGTCCAGTGCCCTTAACCACCATGCCACCTGCCTGCCCCTCTCTTCTGTTTTTAAAAAATAATTAATTATTTATTTAATTGCATTTGTTGTTATTATTTTTTAATATGATCAGAGAAAGAAAAGAGAAAGGGAAAGGGAGAAAGCAAGCCGCCAGGTCTGGGACTTGAACTGCAGTCAGCCATGTAGGAATTCAGTGCCTTTAACCACCACACCACCTGCTGGCTCTCTTTTCTATTTTTTTTAATGGCTTATTTAAACTTCTTTATATCAAGCATTTTATACACACACACACACACACACACACACACACACACACACATGTATTTTAAAATAATTATTTAATTCATTTGTTATTGTTATTATTATTTTTATTTGGAGAGCTTTTTGCTATAAGGTGCATGCACTCGCCAGAAAGACAGAGACAGAGAGACAGAAAGCAAGAAATCACCCCTCAGGGGGGCTGGCCATGCCGCAATCCCTTCTTCTCCATTCTCCTCTCAGTATCTTGGGCACGCATGCACATGCGCCTGGTATGAGTTAAGCCACTGGGTCCAAGGCTTGAACTGCGGTTGACTACATGGGAGTCCAGCAACATAGCCATTATGCCAACTGCCGATCCCTTGTTACTATTATTTTTTAATTTGACCAGATAGAGACAGAAAGAAAGAAAGGGAAAGCGAGAAAGCAAACCACCGGGTCCAGGACTCAAACTGCTGTCAGCCCTGTGGGAATCCAGCATATTTAACCGCTATGCCATCTGCCGGCCCCCATCATTTTATATATTTATTATCATTATTTTTTTTTTAGGTTTTGCCACAGAGTGTGTACATTTGCCA